ATAGTATATAATAAGATTACATGTTTCTTTAAAGTAAATATCTAATTGATTCTAACTTGATCTATGATTTTTTTAGTAATATTGTTTTATTCCAACATTAATTTTATTCCTCTCTAGTAATAATACTAATATGATTGCAGTATATACTGTAGATTAGTAATAAGTGAAGTATATAAATAGTTAAAAGGTTTACTAATATAAAGAAATAAAAATATTATAAATTAATATTAAGATTTTCAAGATAAACCCACCAAAAAATAAAATTTATGATATTACACTATCATTAGATTATATAGTTACTTTAAAAAATAACAAAAATTTATCATTGATAGCAAAAAAGACAGCATTTCTCTACACCTTAATAACAGCATTATGATTATTTGATTTGGCCAAGTTTGATTTAACTACAATTAAAACACAATGAATAGAATAATACTCCAATATCAAAACTCTAAAAAATTAAATATTGCAATAGATTATGGTATAAACAAGCAATAATTCAAACAAGTATTTATTGGTAAATATCAAGAGAATAAAAACTTGTGTCTAGTTATGATATTACTTTATTATCTAGACCAGTGTTGTCACTGGAAGACCACTGAAAGGCCACTAGAAGTTAAATCAATAGTGCCACTAGAACTTTAAGTTCCAGTAACACTATTGATTTACTTCCAGTGGCCTTCTAGTAACTTTCCAGTGGTCTTCTAGTGGCAACACTGATCTAGACAGAACAAAGGATTTCTGAAATACAAACAAACAAAAATAGCAGTATTTCTATCAAGTATAAAAGCATATAACCTAGCTACAGTAAACACAATTGCAAACTGGTTAAAGAATACAGCTTTCAAAAAAAGAGCCAAAGATATTTGTATCTTGTTAGCATTATTTGCTCAGAATGTAGGCATTGAACTGAACTTAATTTTAGTACTGAATAATTGGTCAAATTCATATACTTATATAACTTCTTTTCTTGGCTTTTTTTATAAAAAATTGTATAATATCCATTATAGAGCAACAAATAGGATTTTTTTATTTTTTAACCACTATAAAGTCTGTATTTGTAAGTTAAATAAAACAGTAATAGTGAAGTTTTGGTCTAGTAATTTGCATAATATTTTGATAGCTTTCTTTAAAACTTATTTCTTTTTAAAACATTCCTGGAAATAAGCTACATGTATGTTTTCTATAAGATATTGGGATGTAGTAAGTGTTCTAATATAGGTCCCAGTAGCATCAAGTTCTTAAGTGATAGTACTTGTAATAAATCTATTATTAATTCAGTTATCATTAAGAACTATATTGCTGATATTCAAAGAGATATCACGATACATATTGTTGCTTGTTTTTTCTGTCTTGGCCAATATTTTTGAGATCAATGTCTATGGAGAATTGACATAACATTTTATTGATACCTATTTTTGAGTGAATATATCTATTGCTATTAACATCAAGTCTGAGAATCAGAATATGTAAGTTTGTATCTGTGCATTTAATCTGTTTGCAGACAAGTCTATGTTGAAGATTCCACAGGTTGTTTAATTTGTTGAAAACTTTGAAGTTTAGCATCCAATCATGTTTGTTATATTTCAAATATGAGATATAGTCTGCTAATGTATTATCTGTATCCAGTATGTGTTATATTGTCAAATTGATATTTTTTTGAAGACAATTCTTCCAGATTTGCTCTGCTATCGAACTAATCTCTGAGAAGATCATGCCTCTTAATGATTGATGTACACTATACAAGTTGTGTTGTCTGTTTTTATTATTACTAATTTGTTTGACAAATTCCTAAACAATATTAGTGCAAATTGAATTGCTTTTATTTCTAGAACATTGATGTATAACCTCTGTTCTGTGCTTGACTATAGCCTATTTATTAATTTTCCTTCTTGACTGGCCTCTTAACTGAGCTATAATACATTGGTATCAGTGTTATCAATTTTTTGTTCTATTGATAAAAATTATATTCTATTCTAAATTTTATTATTCTATTCTATTGTTCTATTGTTCTATTTGTTTTTTGCTATATTAATATTAATTATAATTTAGTTGTCAATATTTTGTTCTATTGATAAAAATTTTATTCTATTCTAAATTCTATTGCTTTATTCTATTGCTCTATTGTTCTATTTATCTATTGCTAACAACACTAATTGGTATATATTACTGTTAATAATATGTTTGACTTTAGTAACTGTTTATTCCAGTTTTTCAACTAATTTGTTTACCACTTTAGTTGTTCTACTGCTTTTTCTGATATTTTTAAAGAGGCATTCTAGCCTTTTGCTTTTATTGTTTGATTTTTCAGCCTTATCAGTTCTTTTGATTTTAACTGGACCAAAAGTATTATATTTGTTGTAGCTAATAGTTTTCTAATTAGAGATACTAATTTCTTAATCTTTATTGTCTTTATTTGTGCTACTAATAAATATTCTTTTCTTAGTTGCTTTATTTTTTCCTTTGGAAGTAATAAAGTCATTTTTTTTGAGTTTAACCTAAAACCTAGATAATATAGCATGTAGGTTCAAGTTGACTCTTTTGTATGTTTATTACAAAGCCCAAGCTATTTAATATATCTAATATTTTGTCGAGATGTGCTAGTATTTGATCCTTCTCCTTTGCTATAACTATTAGGTTGTCAAGTATGCTACTACTTGAATGCCTTAAGATCTTATTGTTTTTAGAACTAAATGTATTATTTTCGTAAAAATTTGTAGGCTAGACATTAATATAAAAAGTAGATATTTAAAGCAATACTTTTGTTCCAAGAAATCAAATATTAAATATTTTTTGGCAGAAAAATATAATAGCATATAAAAGAATATATCTTTTATATCTATTAACACTATGTAGTTATGTTTTCTAATAAGGTATTTTACTGTAAGTATGGACTCTATTTTGAAATATTTGTATTTTGAATATATTTAGTGATCTTAAGTTTAACAAGGTACACTTTTTTTATTTTCTTATTAAGTATAATTAGATTTGATAAGAAGTATAGCAAATTTTTTGAAAACTTTTTGATTGCTTGCATGTTCTATAAGGCTTATATCTCATTCTTTTTAATCTCTAGATTTGTTGAAAATTTCATAAAATACTTCTGTTAGTAAATTCTTAATAGGGTTTTAAGCTTTATTTTGAAAAATAACCATTTAATATGATTAGGGTTCGAGATACAAATGCATGAGCATGCCTTTTGGACATGCCTCAAAAGCATGCTTATAGGCATGCCACTTGGCTATTAGGTATTTCCTAGTTATGTAATATATGTGTTGTATTTGATTGGCCAGCATGTTAGAAGTAGTTAAGGTTATCAGAGTTGTAAATTTTTTAATATTTTAATTAGTATAAACTCCATATACTAGTTGATAATCACTATTTTAGACAAGTCATTTTAACAAATTTCAATTTAGACAAGTCTAGATTTTTATTTATAATATTTTCAAGTTTATTTTTTTAATACTTTGTATTTAAGTAGTCATATTTGAAAATATAAAATTTATATAAATACATAATAGCAAATAGGTTATTCATAGCAAGAATCTGTAAAAAAAGTTTTATAGTAATCATAATAAAAATTATGAAAATTCTAATACAAACTATATATTATAACTATCAAAATACATATTTTGTAATAGCAAGTCATAATAGAGTTCTATAATAAAATTGTTTACAGTAACTCAATAGAAATTATAATAATTTTAATGCAAACTAGCTAAATTTTAATTAACTATATACTGTATTATATGTTGCTGAAAAAGTTTTTACAATAATTTATTATAATTGACAACAAAATTTTTTTATATTAAACTCTAGTAGAAATTAATAACTCTAATATAATATTTCAATAAAATTAATAATAGAATTTTTTACAGTAAACCATGATAGAAGTTATAATACAATCCAAAAAAAATACTAAATAAGATAGGTAATATAAAGCACTAGTTTTCTATATAAAAAAGGCATGCCTGTAGGCATAAAGAGCATACCGTAACTCAGAGCATACCCTCAAAGACATGTTTGATTTTTTACTCATGTCTTAAACTTTAGATATGATTGAGGTAGTACATGAATTGCCAAATGTTTCTAACTATTTATATTTGAATTCCTTTAAAAGTTTAAGAATCTGGATATTTACAGGTTCATGAGGTTTAGCAATTGTCTGTTTGAAAATTTCCTTGTGTGGGCCTTGGTTTTCTAACAGTTTTGTCATATATATAGCATCTTCTATCTTGAGAACAGTAAGTGGTGTTTTGGTTTCTGTTATTAGAAAACCCTTGTGATTGTATAGATGCCAAAAATCTATATCACTCTTTATTAATATCATTATATAGTTTAGACTTGATGTTTTCTTTCTCAACCAAGCCTTTAAGTTTTTTTTCAAAAACTTTCTTTTTGTCCTTAGTAGTGGTATATAATAGTAATATAGCTTTAAGTACAATGTTTTTTCTGTAATCATTAGTGTATAACAAAGTATCTTGTAGCAATTTTCTTGCATTGTGATTTGATTTTTGTAGTAACTTATACTCTGCTCTTGCTTTTGTATTCTTATTATCTGGTTTTAAATCATAAAGTTTTTCTCAATATTATCACTAAGACACAAAATAGCAGAGATGTAATAAGAAATATTACAAATAATTTTGTCAAACTTCTTTTGTTGCTTTGACATAGCTCATAAGAAATATTACTCTATCTGTAGTGATTGATAATCAACTTTAGCATTACATGGTTTACTG